TTTCATGTCCTACTATTGCCGAGATGTTTGCGGTGAAGATACATAAAATGTGCCGTTTGCTTCTAATATAGAAACATAGCTATAAATGATGAAAAAAACATTGTTTGTTAAGATCGATTTTGCTCTTTGTGAACTTGGGTGCTCTATTTTTGTTATATTTTATGTGAAAACCTTTGAAAAATCTAATTCTGTATCATCTGTTTGTATTCGGCGTGGTTGATGATTTGATGATTGTGGTGGTAGAACTTCGATGGTAAATATACCGTAATGTGAAGTGATATTACTAAGGCCTGGTATATAGTGATCGGTTACTTGTTTTTTGATTTTTACTTCAGGACATTTTTGTTTACATGGGCTATTTTTTTATCGAACAAATTTGCGATTAGATTATGGCAAAGTTGCACTTGTCCTCCAGCGGGATCGCTTTGTGGGTGGATGAAAAGGGGAGGAATAGATTTATCGTCAAAATTTTCAACTTATTTAATCAATTTTTGCCGGGAATTACGATATGCTTTTTTGGTTGATTCCAATTATAGAGTCTTACTGGTTTAGGAAGGTATGAACTTTCAATTCTGCTTTACATTTTATAGATGATGCTGTTGTGGATTCTGATTCCGAAAATTATTTTTGGTTGATAATTGGTTTACTTTGATCTGCAGTCAAATCTCGAAGACTTTGAAGTTCTTGTTTTGTGGTTGAGTCAGATTTGAAACTACGTTTCGTGTTTTAGAAAAACTTCCTTCGAAAATTTGTTTTAGTTTCGTGATTTTTGCCTTCTTACATGTTTGTTTTTCGTTCTGATGAATCATATTTTGTTTATGTGACGTAATTACAAGATCGTATCCATCTGGATAGGCGCACAGTTTTGTGTCTGTGTGTTCCTGGATTTCAGAGACAAGTCTTTAAAACTGTTCTAATATGTAAGTGAATTCCAGTGACAAAATTTCAGTGGATTCCGCATTCAAATACCTGTTACGGAAATTTTGTCGGCATATTTGTTTTGTTGCGGATTCCGCAAACGTAAGTTGGTTTCTTTCTGTAAACTTCTTTCTCTTTTTTGCTCTACATTTTGAGGGTCAATGAAGGAAGTGAAGGCATCAATATAGGTCAAAAACCCTTTTCCAGAAAAAGTTCTGGGACCAGTTCTGGACTAGTATTTATGAACCAGTTTTATTATTGATAAAAATATCCCTATCAAATATTACTAACTAACCAATCACATTCCATCACCAACACTGACAATTAATTGTAGTGCTGAAACTACTTGTAGTTTCAGCACCAGAACTATTTTAATCTTAGACTACAGTTGTTTTCATTTTGGACAGGCTGCAAGACTAACTCGCAAATACCAGTATACACTAGATCTATTGAAGCTAGGAGATATAAGAGTAAGATTAAGATTGGTATTGAACTAAGAAGTTGCACGAATCTATCCGGCCGAAAATAAGATCAGACGGTGTAAAATAAGTTCAGCATGACGAACAGACGGTGTACCTTATCTAAAATTAATTTATGAGTATGCTACCTCAGCATAAACTCGTCTGGTGCGACCAAAATTCTCGAACGAGAACTTAACTAACTTAGATTCAGCAAATTAGAACTAGGAAAAGACCAAAATTGCGAAATTGCAAAATGTTAGATGAAATAGACAATTTAATAGATATGACTCTACGTCGCAATGAATCTACGCCAATACTCAAACAAAACGAGAACTATCAGGTATTGAACGGCGAACAAGATCACAGCGTGAATATCGATTGAGCAACAAATCAAAATACTATATGGTAGTACGAACCGCAAAGAGTATTTGTCTTCAGAATACTCTATGCAGTAAATTTATATTTTCAATTATTGACAAGAATATTATTTTATTTGAAGAATAGTTTGACTGATTGCTATAAATTAAAACGACACTAACGACTGATAAAAAGATACACAAATTTTCAGTGTTCAATTTTGAAAATTTTGTAAAATCACATTCTATTGTATAAAAATACAAAATTAGTTACTAGGGAATTTTGACGTTAAAGTTATTTAAAATTATAAAAAAACTTATTGCTTCTCAAGAAACCGTTTTTCTTCTTCATACCCGCTTCATCACCCAAAACATAACCAAATTTATTCAAAAACTAACTTAAATCAAAACTTCAACTGTAAAAATAATTTTAATTCTATAACTTCTTCTTAAAATTAATTTTTTATTGAATTTTTTTTCTCAAGGCATGTTCTTGCCCTTTGATAATTGAAATTCATTTTAAAAACAGATCATGAAGGCTTTCCTTGGATCTTTAATTAAACTTTAATTAATTTTTTTTCACTCAAATCAGCTGATCATCAAGGCTTCCCTTGGATCAATGAGAAGAACTTTGTTCTCCCCACCTCATATTTTAAAGTGTCTAACAACCTCAAACGTCGATTCCTTCTCTCTACTCTCCAACCCTTATCAAACAACCAGGACTTATAGAATTTTTTAGGAAAACTAACCAGTATAATTAAGATAAACAGTGAAGAACTTCGGTTATCCATCCTTCACTTGAGCCCCACCTCTTCGTTGACCCAGACGAAAACCCTTAAAATTTTAGGAAGCTCTGAAATAGTAACTAACGATCTAATTGTGTTTTAATTATACCTGAAATTTGTGGGTTGATTTACAATTCTCCAACGCTCGATCACAAATCAAAACCCTAAGTAAGATTAACTATGTTTTTCTTAAATTTAACTTTAAATTTCAACAAAATACAAAACATTCTTAAGATTTGATATTTTCTCTCTCCTACTCATCTACCCTCGACAAATTTTCCCAAAGATTAGGATAGCCACTCAAAAATTGTAAAAACTAACAGTTTAGGAAATATAAAAATCTAACCCCTGGATTTTGCAACTAATTTTCTAACACTTATTTCAACAGATAATCTAGGAAGCAAATAAAGTATAGTACTCAAAAATTGTTTAATCAAAAACGAAAGACACGATCTTGTAATTACACTACTTAAACAAAAAAAGGATACATCAGATCGAAAAACAAACAATTCGGAGGGCAAAAATCACGAAACAAATGCAAATTATGGAACATAAATTTTCTAAAACACGAAACGCAGTTTCAGAATCTGACTCAACCACAATACAAGAACTTCACAATCTTCGGGATTTGATTGCAGATAAAATTATACCAATAATCAACCAAAAATAGTCTTTGAAATCGGAATCCAGAACAGCATCATCTATAAAGCAGAGTTGAAATTTCATAACTTCCTAAACTAGTAAGACTCTAGGTTTTCACAAAATATATCCCAAATACACAACACCCAAATTCACAAAGAGCAAATTCAATCTTCCCAAACAATCATTTTTTCAACATTTATAGCTATGATTCTAAATTAGAAACAAACGACACATTTTGTGTATCTCCACCGCAAAAATCTTGACACGCAATAGTAGGACAAGAAAAAATTATTTTCTCACATTTTCAAGACACAATCCGTGAACCACTCACTGATAATGAAATATCACAAATAATAAAAGTTGATCTTGAAAAAATCCTAGCATGATTCATTATAGTTCACGCATCAAAAATGAACTCCTTGCATTTCTAGGATGGCCTTACTATATCTTAGAAAGATTGACTATATTATACGCAATGCTTAATGTTACAAATATTTTTTCCATTTTTAAAAAGAATTCATACTACATACGAAAAACATACACAACTCAATAGACAAGCTAGTGTAGCAAGCATTATATTTGCAGGATTTTTCCGAATATTTTCAACTTCTAATAATAAAAAATTTCTTGATGCACAAATCAGTGAAAACAATGAAAAATATTTCTACAAAAGCAAACTCATGCGACATTCCACCAGAAAATAAATATATAAAATCCACAGGACCATCATATTAATATAGGTTACACAATAACCATCCATTATCATTAGTATCACAAAGCTATAGAAATAACCTTCGACCTCTGAAGGACCAAATCATATTAATAACTTAAAACGTATCCCCATATCTCATATAGCACACCAACAACCAACTATAGACGACACATACGAACAGTATGTAGAACAACCACATAACTCAAATCTTCGTTCTTAAAACAATCTTTTTTTTAACACACGATGAGCCGACAAGTTGGACCCCTCAACTGTTCCCTTTCTTATCCATTCAATCTTCAACGCCACGACTCCCTCATTTCAACTTCGGGCCTCACCTCTTCCCCCTGCCCAGTTTTTTTTAACTCACCACGCATGGACTTAGATGACTCAGTTTTTTTAATGTCATCTCTAAATATTACTAACACAAATATAAAAAACACTCACCAATTCTACACGTGTGTTTCACCTTTCCTTTTTAGTTTTCTCCCGGCGATCATGTAAGAAGACAACTACTCCGCAACACGAGCAACTGTAACTTTCTTTTCTTTCACGTAGTCACTGCTTCAAACGAGTCTACTCTAGGAATCAAAGAATCTCGCCATCCGTCCTTCTTTAAAATAAAAATTAAAACTTATAACTCTCTAAGCCCCGGATGGGTGGAACCAATTTAAAACTAGTATTCATATCCAATTATTTTATTGATAAAACTATCTCTGTAAAGTATTTCTAATTAACCAATCTTGATCCATAACTAACACTTACTATAAATTGTATAGCTGAAACTATTCATAGTTTCAGCAACAGAACAAGTTGAATATAACTTAGCAAACAGCCGTTCTATTTCAGAACAGTTTCTGATACCTATCTCGCAAGTACCAGTATACAGTGGATCTATTCAGACTAGGAGATATAAGAGTAAGGTTAAAATCGGTATTAGACTAAGAATTTGCCTTGATCATCCGGCCGAAAATAAGATAGCGTGACAAACAGTACCTTATCTGAAAATACTCTATGAGTGAGCCACCCGGACTTAAACTCAAAGTTCTGGCTCCAAAAAAGTGGTTTTTAAACTCTTGATTATTCATTTGCACATAAATAATAAAAGTGAATTTAAACATTGGTCGGAACATCTGAGCAACTGTTTAGTATCTGACAGCATCAGAAAAAAAATTGCCTAGCATTTGTGTTCTGAGCTTTTAAAACAACATCATCGTTTTAATGTTTAAGTTATGCAATATTTATAAAAGTACCAGTACATTAGGTTTAGAATTAAGTACGAGAGAGGGAAAAGGTATCGTGAGTAGGTGTCAATCAAATCCACATTATGCGACAGACAGTTCTCCGAAGCCTGATTGTCACTGGAGTTGCGACAGGAGCAAAGGAGGGTAAACAAGTTGAAACTGAAATATTTTTCAGACTTTTTGGGACTGATGACCTTGGCATTACTTTCGGCAGAATCGACCGAAGGTTTTCTGTGCAGAGAAGAACTGCTGTTTCTGAAGCTAGGCTTCTCGGATACCAACGAGTTTCTCTTTTTCTAAAAAAAAAAAAACAAACAAAATGTTCTGACAATTTTTTCTCGACATTCAGATATCATTTAAAAAACAAAATTGCAGCTGAAAAAGCTTCAAAATAATATCACACCAGATCAACCACGAGCTTGCTTTCTGGTAGGTACATGAATTTTACCCTAATCCATTGGTCCTTCATGAGATGTCAAAGTTACAAGAGTTGTCTGTTTCATTCGAGTGTATGGGGAGGTTTTGGTTCGACATCGGAAGGCAACGGAGTGGTTATTTCTGATTTATCACAAACTTCAAGTTCACGAACTATTTTATCTGACCTTGGATGCTAGTTTGTATGGACTTCTCTCCTCCCCGTAAGAGTGAGGTAGAGTGACGAAGTCGTCGTCTGAGTTGTTGTGGTAGAGGTAGTTGTAGGCAGCCGCCTGCTCCGGGTCATAGATGCCCCTCTGCACGTTCAAGTAGCACACCTGGGGAGGGAAATGGTTTAAAAAGAATGGTTTGCAACAAAAAAGAATATCCGATACATGGTAGTTTTGTTGATTATACTTTACTGACTGCGTCTATCGCGAGGAATTAGAGAAAAAAAAACATTGCAGTTATCAGTTTACATATCATATCTTTTGGTTATTTTCAGTTTCAGACAGTTCTGGGCGCCATGATCTTTGAAAAACTGTTTCAAAAGTAATGTTTCGACAAAACCGCAAACAAATCCTAATGCAGTTACGCTCTTCCAAATTTGCATTATCCCTGAGAAATTTTACGACCAGTAGACTTTTTGGTTTGAACAATCCTCTAACAAGTGCATTTGTGCCACTATGGTTACCATGGCGAATTCGATGAGTGAGCAGAACACGAAGAAGAAGCATCCGGCGAAGTAGACATCTATGGCCTTCATGTAGGATATCTTGGGCATGTTGTTGTTGCTTCCTGTGATGATAGTCAACAGGGTCAATACTGTTGTGATGCCTGAAATAACGTGAACATTGAACTTGTTCAAGTGGCGTGCATTATAACTGAGCAGAATCAGAAAGCAATCAGGTACGTATTTCCACCATTGATTTCTTGGCCTATTGACCAGTTTAAAGCTTTTTAAATCACATTCCACTAGTAAAGAATTGTCAAACTTTGGAATCTTTATACAACCAGTCTTGAAATTAGAAGTATGAAGCCCACCGGTCCCAAGTTTTTTTGCATTGCGATAATTCGAGGGCTTTCTAAGGTCCGGAAGAACACAAAAACTTGTTTGTAGGTCTTTCGAGTGGTCAAAAGCGGAAAACTGCAAAAAGTATCTAAAAACTGCACATAGAAATAGTCTGGTTCTACTCCTAATTCTAACAATAATGACTGACCTAGAGCTGCGCGTGCAGGTACAGACGAGGTGCCGACCCAGAAGGAGACCCACGAGACCATGACTATGAGTGCAGAGGGAGCATACATCTGGATGAAGAAGTAGAGCGTGTTCCTCACAAATGTAAACTGCACCGCCAGAGTGGACCAGCTGCCTAAATTAACTCTGTTTGATTACTTTTTTCCACCGCTGTAGTCTACTTTCAGAAACGTCTTTTAAAGCCAGCCAAGTGGAATGTTTTTCAAGAGTTGGATGAATCGTGAACCATATAGGGCTACTCCAGTTTTTCCAGCAATTTCAGTTGTCATTTTTTTACGCAAATATTAATTTCATGATATATTACCAGGGGCGGATCTAGGATTTTCTCGAGAGGGGGGGGGGGGCGGTTTTCAAAAAAATAGAAAAATTTGTCTACCTTTTTTTTTATTTAGCTTGACCAAATTGATTTTCCGAGCTCTCCCAAAGCACTAAAAAGAGCCTGTTTCGACCAAATTTTGTGCTCGGCAGGGAACTTTATGAAAAAGCAGGCCGAAAAAGCCGTTTTAGGCACTTTTTTGAAAACTTTGACCAAAAAATCGCGTTTTTTGGTGCACGCTTCCCCTTCAAAATTAGTTTATATTGGCGCCTTTAGAAAAAAATTGGGGTCTGTCAGCCAAAAATTGATTTCTCAAAGTAGTACAAAGGGGGGACCCTTTGGGTCGGCAGGTGGCCGAATTCCTGAGGGAAATCCTTAAGTGGCCCATGGGAAATCCTTAAGTGGCAAAGATATCCAATAATTTTTAACAGCTCTTTTCCCCTCCCCCCTCACATTTCAAAATATACATTTCTATAGTTGTTTTACGTGTTATTATGCTTAAGCAGGGGCGGATCTAAGATTTTCTCGAGGGGGGCGGATTTTCAAAAAAATTTCGAAATTTTGTCGACCTATTTTTAAGGTCGACCAAATTGATTTTCCGAGCTCTCCCAAAGCATTACAAAGACCGTTTCGTCCAATTTTTATGCGCGGCAGGCAAAATTTTGAAAAAGAACAGGCCTAAAAAGGCGTTTTTAGACACTTTTTGGAAAATTTCTACCAAAAAATTGCGTTTTTTTTGGCGCGCGCTCCCTCCTTTAAATAAGCATATATTGGCGCCGAAGGCGAGCTCTTTTTCCTTTTCTCCCCACTTGCAGTTTTTTACCAGTAAACTTACTGTTCACATTGTCCGATCGTTATGAAAATTGACATGCGGTCTAATTAAGCTGAGCCAACATATTTTGCCCTTATAATTAACCTTGTAAAACCACTCGTTACAACATAAAATTGATGGTCGTGTCAGGTGAGAGGGAAGGAAAAAGAGCCCGAAGGCGTCTTTAGAAAATTTTAGGGTCCGTCAGCCAAAATTGGATACCTCAAAATAGTTCAAAGGGGGACCCTTTGGGTCGGTAGGGGGTTGAATCCCTGAGGGAAGTAGAGTGTCCGCCCCCGCTCCCCCCCCCCCCCCCCTAAATCCGCCCCTGTGCTTAAGTGAGTGATGTTACGATATAAAGTATGAAGAACAAACATGTTCACAATAATGAAATTGTTCTCTATGCAAATTTTTGTTACGTTAAGACAATGTCAAAATAGTTTTTCAAAGCTGAAATTCAAATGTGGGGGGGGGGGGGGGGAATCGGCAACTTGTTCTTCAATGTACCTGTGCTGAGTGATCGGTTGAAATTTGTGAGGGTGTAGTTGATCATGCGGAAGTTTGCCAGGGTGGTGTCATTCTCCACTGCAATGATGTCCCGCCAATGCCACTGGTAGATCACGTCCTTACACGTGTAGCCATCTAAGAACCACCCAGTCATTGAATCAACTCGTAAGAACAAAAAAAACACTTCACTGGCAAAAAACTTCTATGAAAGGGATGTTTGAACATTTACGGGAAAATTTTCTATCAACTTACTCGTCGATAGATATTTGCAGTTGTCACTAATTTTCTTCGCCATGTTATATTTAATCTTTTTTTCTCTTCTTAGAGCAAAGTTTTTAGCTATTTAAATTAATTGTGGTGAGAAACATGGGATACCTAAATTGTGGTTGGGAAATGGGATACTTCTATGGGCAAGGGGATTTTCATAATTACAGGCAGGTTTAAGGAAAACGTGACTCACAGCTGGCTATTCTGAGTTCGCACACCTGGGTGTCCATAGGGAAGTACCTCAGATTCATTGGACATCGAGACGTCACAGTGGCCCTAAAGGGATGATATGGGCGTAATATTTGGAGTTTTGCAAAAAATAATTGTTATTTTAGCCAGTAACAAAATAGTGACAGATTGCAAAAAAAATCTTTAGAGTTTTTCACATTTCCCAAAATAGGGTCCTTATTGTATTTTCGGAGAACTCGTAAAATTTTCAAACTTTTTCGATGAAGGATAACGAGCATCAAATATCTGTTGGCATCCCTTCCAACCTATATCGACAAAAAACGTCTCTACTCACTTTTTGATGTACATACAAAAGTTCGATAGGAAAGTGCAACCCGCAGCGGAGCATATGGATAACTATTTTTGTCATTTCACAGTTAGTTTTTTCAACATTCTTAAAAAATCGAATATAATCGATTTACAACAGTACGAGGCCAAACTGTGCATCCTGTGCTTTGGAAGCGGATTCCGCAACAGGACAAAATCAGATCTGTCGCGGAGTCCGCAACTTTGCTACTTTGCTTTGCTCTTCTTCGCTGTTTTGGATTCCACAAACAAATAGCTAAAACATTCTACCGCTCAAGATTGCTCCAAAAATAGACGGATTTGCGGAATCCGCAAACATATTGCAATACTGACCTAGTTTTGCGATATGCTGTGTGTAATGTTTCCAAACACTCTCAACCCAATGACTCCAAATATTGATTTTATTCGGTGTTGTGTTTCCAAAATACTAAAAGGTGACATCCACCGACTTAGTTAACAAATGTTTTGAGACTTGTTCGTGGTTTCCACTGACAATGGTTAAGTCCTTGCCTTTAAATTCCGCATTGCTATAGATAAGAATTCCAGCTCTAGCTTTTAATTGTTTATATGCAAGTTCAGTAATAAATAAAATTCCGAGTCCACTTACAGTTTGCGGATTCCGCTTACAGATTTTGCGGATTCCACTTACATTTGCAGATTCCACTTACATTTTGTGGAATCCACTTACAGTTGCGGAATCCAGAACAACTAGCTACATTCGCTTGCTGCGGAATCCGCGACACAAAAAATGTGCTGACAAATGGCAAAATTACGTAGCAGGTATTTGTACGCGGAATCCACGGTAGTTTTGTAAGTGGAATCCTCTTGCATTTTGGAACATGTTTAAAGGTTTGTCTTTGGAATCCAGGAACATACAGACATAAAATTGTGCGCCTATCCAAGTGCACAGTTTGGCCTCGTAATGAACGAAATTTAATTGCTACTATCATAAAAGCAAAAATCTATTTTAAATCGGTTTTAGTCGATTTTAATTGATTTTTTTCTGCAATTTTTTCCAGCAAATTTAATATAATTTTAATGATTCTCGTCGATTATACAAGATTATAACGGACTATAATCAGCAAAACAGTAAAAAAAATTACATTTGGCTGTTAAAACAATGAAAACCTCGACCTAAAAATCAACACGCAATTTTTTCTCTCCATTGCAAAACTCTTAGCACCGTTGAATGCATTGGGCGAAGTGGGGTTTAAAAGGCGGAACCGACAAACAACCTAATGCAAAAAATCCGAGCCATTTTATTTACAATAAAAAAACTTTTTGAAAAAAAAACTGTCTTTATGAGCGATTACACACCGTATACTCATAAGTATCTCTCCATTTGGTTCTATTCTGAAGAACACATTCTCCTTTGTCACCTTGTGCACATTGCTCACTATCTCACTGTGGAAGAATGAGTCAGGCAGCCACAGGGCGTCTAACAGGTCCTCCGAAAGAGTGACGCTCTTGTTGCCGTTGAACTGCAGGCGGGAGTCGACCCAGAATTGACGGAAGTACACGCCCAGTTTGAAAGTCTAAGTGAAAATCACAAAAAATCAGAGCTCGTTTCAAATTAATTTCAGATGTAGGATGTTTTTCGAAGCAGAGACTACAAATTTAATGAAATATTTTTTTTCGTAATCAAATTTCGAAAACAATCTTTAATTGTAGCTTGAATTTTGTAAGCCTCTCCGCAAAGATTTATTCCCATTTTTCAAGGGAGAAAATTACGGCAATTAACGGAGCTAAAAATCTTGAAGCAATAATTAAGTTCAAATATAGGAGTCCTCTTTCTAAATTCTTTCATCAAAATAATTTGTGAGAATTGTAGATGATAAAATTTTACCCACCATGTCGAACTCGGAGACAGGTCCTATGTTGACAATATGCAGAGAGACGTTTACCTTCAGAGGTCCACCTGAAACAAGATAATCGTGCTAATATTTATTATCATTTCTCCCTCAATTTTTATCATCACTCCCAATCTCAACTTTACTGTGAGGGTACCTTTGGCGCCAATATATACCAATTCTGGGGAGCAACGCACCAAATATGATGATGATACATCGTTTTAAATTTGGGCTTACGATAACATAATATTTATGCAGAACTTTAAATAAATAAATAAATACAGTGAAAAGAAATACGACAACAATTTCGCCTTTACATCATGTTCTCAGCCACAACCATCTAAGACAAAATCATCCTACATGCTTTGATCCATTAAATTTATATAACTTTGCTGACAAAATCATCCCCTACCAGTCATTAACTTCTAAAAACAAGTCAAATCATCCACAGGCTAGACATTTTATTGCTGCTGAGGCTTTGGTAGCTTAATAGTACTTTCACTAGGCTCCTCAACTATCAAAGTAAAACGACTGATCGTATCAGGGCGATGCCCTGAATGTTCCGGCTGCCTTTTAAGATCTATGGAGCAGTAATAACATGGAAAATTTAAATGTAATAAAGTAGAATTAAAAATTTTTTTTCTAAAAAGTTCAAGATTTTTTTGTGAAAACATCCCCCCACACGCCATATTAAGTACAAAGTGATAGATTTTGCTCCTATTAACAAATCAATTATGGCAAATAAGCTTCTTTCAACCATTTTTGAACGATTTCTAAGACGGATTAAATCTCCGCTTACGCGTTAATAGCGCGAAATATATCGCGCGTTAATTGTCCCAAATTGGCCAAAATGGCCAAAATGGCAATCTTTAAAGCCTCATAACTTTACGAAAAACAATCACACGTAAAATATTTTTTCAAATTTAAGCCCAGGACAACATAGCTTTCGAATGATGTAAAAATTTTCCATCAAAAATGGCTAGTTAAAAAGCCAAAGTTTATGTCTAAAGAAAACAAAACCCAACCCGAGCACAAATATTCCGTTACTTTCGTATCGAAAGTCGGAACAATAATACGTTGCATGACCTCCTCAATCACAGAAATAAGCCAAAGAAAAAAAAATAATTTCACTCAAATCAAACCAGCGACTTAGAGACTAGTAAGGTTTGATAAAGGCAAACTAATTGTTCATTGCCAGTTGACAGATGTGATCTTCATTTATTGTTTTTTTCTCATTTGCGTTGAATTTTTTTCACTTTCACGCACTTGTCTAATTTAAAATGGCAGTAAAAACGAAATATTGTCTGTCTAGAAAAAAAATACCGTATTCAGTTTTGCTTTTTGCGTCTACTTTCGAAGAAAGTGACGGAATATTTGAGCTCGGGGTAGTATGTTCTCCGAGCAAAGTTCGACTTTTTGACAAGCGATTTTTGACGGACGTTACGACGCCAAGCTAAGGTACTTTGATAGTGGTTTGGATTACGCACTAGCAGTCCCTGGAATTCGCATAAAATGCGTTGGTTTCCGCATCATCTCGATAAGAAAATCTGATAAGAAAGTCTTAAACACTAGACGCTAAAGCTGAAACATTGTTAGCAAGAAAAAAATTTGGAATCCAGTGACAATGCGCATTTCGGAGACAAATGCTCTTTTGCATTTAGCGTACATTGAAGCTGAATGTCGTTGGATTCCAACTTTTTTCAGTAGATTCTACAATGGATTTGTTCTTTTTGTCGCTGGATTCCACTTTTTGTCACCGGATTCTTCAATAGATTTGTACTTTTTGTTGCTGGACTCCACTTTTTGTCACCGGATTCTTCAATAGATTTGTACTTTTTGTTGCTGGATTCCACAATTTGTCAGTGAATTCCGCTGTCATTTTTGATCTTTTTGTCGCTGAAAACGTATCTGACCCATTTTTTTTATCAGCTCATTTTTGCAGATGATTTTGTGATGAACGTATTGCCTCCATTCTCAATTATTGCTGTTTCCTAATTTCATTTATCTGGACAATCATCAAATGAGACAGTTGACACCGTCAAATTTTCCGCAATTGGGACAAGTTCCTAAATTTTGATAACCCCTCTCATTCTATCTTTTTTGCAAGTGAGAATGGTTCATTCATGTTGCCCCCATCCCTTGTCAATTAAAAGTTAAATACAATATTGATCGAGAACAGCAAAAATTCATCCAATCAAAAACATAATTATGGAAAAACCAATTGACAATTTAATAAAACTCCCTGGAACCCAATTGCAATTTTTCTGTCGTTTCAGAACGCAAAATGGATTTGACGAATATCCCATGATGTGATCCGCCATTTTGGGTTTGCGGTAACGGCCGAAGTCAAAACAATTAATTTATTTTCCAAAACTTAAAACTGCAAAAAATATTCTGAAAAAGATTGAAAGACAATATTACTTAGTGTTATCTTCAACACAATAGTTCATCTTCAACATTAAATATCATAAACAATTAAAACTAAAAAACGTTTACTAGCCGCACTATTTTTAACGCTTAAAAGGAACCATTTTTTTTACTCCACAGGAGAAAATTAATCTTGAGTAGATCCGGATTCGAACCAACTACCTGCGTTATTTGGGCGACAAGACCGTTTTGCCTTAATATGAAGCATGTGAGTCTTGCTAAACGTTTCAGCCCAAATAGCTGTACAGATGAAGCAGCAGACAAGAGCAACCATATAGACAAGTAGGAGTCGTTTGAATAATTAACAATAATTTCATTAAAACCAGTAATATTTTGTATGTGAATAAGCACAGCTGGTTAGACAAAAAATCTTAGGTATGGTTCTACTTGCAACCTCCATGACTTCTGCATCCAAAGCCACAACCTCGTCTCTTCCAACTGAGGATTTGGATGCCCCCTCAACCGGGGTCCAGCTTTAACAAAATTGCAGCGTTCGAAAAGCCCAAAGATCATTGATCATAGAGTTGAAAGCTTACCAACTAGGCAGATCCACTTTATGTTCTTTTTTGCTAGTTTTTTAATATTATGTTCAGTTATTTATTATCTTTAGTTGTTATTGTTTTCAAGCATCTGAACTGTTTTTCTACCAAACAAAGACATTTTTGAGCAATAAAAAAATCAAGTCTAACTAAAATGCTTAATTTAAGGTACGCTTGTGTAAACCTTTCTGAATTGCAGACAACGGAAAATTCTAAATGTGCTTTACCCGGGTCTTTATTTTGGATTTAGTATTACAAACAGATTGTTGAATTAATTTTTTGACGATTTTTGAACGTAAAATAGAAAAGATCCAGAGGGAAATTAAACACAAGCCAACATCATGGTAGAAAAAGAGTGAAGAGAACCACAAAACGTATGATCGCAATTTGTGAACGTCTTACAACTTCCAAAAAAAATGTAGGCCAAAAAATTGCCTTAATAGATGTTGATACTCGTGACACCATTTTTCTAAATTTTAACCAACATCTTTAAGCGATATTTGCACCGACTGAAATTATGATCAATCAATTTAAGATCTGAAAGCAAAAAATAAAAGAAATTGAAGAAAGTAATTAAAATTGTCCAGACCCCAGTAATCAGGACTTTTTTGTCATTTTTTGACCTCAGGGCAGTACTTCTGTGCCTCTAGATTCGATATCTTTTGGGGAACAATCTAAATCCGCAACAAAAAGCAAAAAAGAATGTTGTTGAATTAGATTTTGCAGACGACTATTCAGTTGACGCTTAGTGTTCAGTTGCTTTATTTTTTAACCAAAGTTTTTGTGGGGGCACTTGTCCCAAGTCATAAACAAAATCAGCAAAACTGAATTTAGTTTTGAATCCGAATATTTAATTTGCTGTTAGTGACGGGTGTGTTTTGACGTGGAGGAATGTTTTCATGGTCTTTGCTTCCAGTTTGCTCCAAAAATGTTCCAAATTCATGGCCAGATTTGCGGGCTGGTGACCTTCAGTTTGGCGAGAATTCCATTGAGGAGAGTTCCTATTCTTATACAAAGATGCCATGACCGGTTTTGTTAAATTGTCAAAACAAATATTGGTACAGGGTGTAAAGAGGCCACGTCAGTAATTGACTGTTCCTTAGTTGCATGAAACGTGAAGATGGCATCATGTTGTCCGGCGCTGTTGGGACCAATGACATAAAAATAATTTTTTCATAAAGTTATATCCCCGCTACCGTCCAATTTTTGTTAAGTTAGGATACGTGGAATTGGAAACGACTGCCCTTGCAACTGACCATAGTTTTCGAATTTTTGGACCTGATTGGTCAAACAAAACTGAAAAAAAAAACCATCAAATTGAAAAAAAATTGATAGTAAAACTGTTGAAAATGATTTGATTTAAAAATTACTCTCGATTCCATAAAAATCCAATCCGGGAAAATGCATAGAGTTACAATCTGGCTAGAAACAACATCTTATTCAGAGATTTTGACCTTTTCAATTTAAAAAGAACTTAGCTCAATGACAAAGCTGCGTCAAAAGTTCGGAGAGATTTGACCTAAGTGAAAGTCCTAGGTGAAACAAGTAACATTTGATTATCTGTAAGTTCCTCGTGTTTTGTAATTGAATGAATTTTCCGAGCCAAATCGGCAAAACCGAACTAGAAACTATTTAATTTTGTTATCCTCGAAAAAATCAGGGTTCTGAAGTCAAGTGATTGATTCGAAACAAAAGGAGGAAAGACGAAGAAACTGGACGAAGAAAATCAAGAAAAAAGGATAAAAACTTCCTGATAAACAGTCCTTTCAAACGTCCGCTTTTTGTGAGAACGGCACATTTCGAAGACGAGCCATATTTCGAGATATACGTATCATATGTTGACTTAGAAAACAAGCCTATGGAAAAAACAGCAATTGAAACAGAAACTTTATGTAATGAAGTCATTCCCTCTTTGATTGCAGAAACTGAGCAAGGAAATCATAATCAGTCAGTTACTAGTCAAACCATGTAACCTAGTTAAAGAAATTTTTTTTAAAAATGCGAATAAAAGGAGAATTTCGAGAGAGACGTTCTAACTCTGGTACCAATATAGGACGAAATCGTGTCTCTGAAAAATGTACCATCTATCAAAGGTGTGCTCA